AATAAAGAACTGTTCAAACATAAGGCTAAAATATACGAACTCTTCATCTATTTGAGGAAAATAATGCTTAATTATTATTTGATCAGAGATAAAATTAAGTTTTGTTTTGCTTTGTTTTCACTCTTCAGGTTGTCTTAAGATGGTCTCACACAGGCTCAGGAACCTCCCAGGCTGGCCACTAGGTGAGCCACACACCAGCTGGAATCCTGACTAGAATTTTAGCCCCTACCTTCCCTTCTCTTGTTCTCTTAAGTTGCCTTATTCCTGCCATGAAATAGGGCTCATGTCACCTACGTTACAACACGGGGAAAGACAAACAAACAAAAATCCTTCCTGTTCTGAAAATAGCTAGATTGCTCTTATTCTATCTCTCACTCTATATGGTAATAAAATATAAATTGCTCCATGGACTGCAGAACAGAGATAACAAACACCCTGTAGGGACTGCAGAAACAATAAATAGCTGCACTGCATCTGGCTTGCTGTGGGCAATCTACTCCCAATGTGCTGCTAGAGGCACCCATGGATGAAATCTGGCCCTGGTCCTCTCCAGCTCAGACCCCTTCATCTATTTTATAGCTTTCCATGAGGTCTGTCAGGATCCGGCCTGGGTTTGACTTCCTTCCTTCTGGCCTAGGTCTGCACCTCAACTCCTCATGTCCGGGTGCCTGCCCTGACTCACCAGAGGCTTTGCATTCTAGGCTTTATTCATGTTGCCTTCCTCTGCAGAAGCACCTACCATGTTCCATTCCTGCTCTGTTTGTTTACCTGACAATCCTCAATCTTACATTTTGTTACAAATTCTGATCAGAAGCCTACTGTGTTGTCTTCGTTGAATTTCTCTCTACCACTTTACTTTTGTGACTTGAACTTGAATCTCCTAGAAAGCAAGTACAGTATCTTATCCGGTTTTGACAGCCCACTCCAGTTAGACACATAATAGCCCCTTTCACAGCAGTCCCCTTTCTAAAGTGTACTACATTTAGAAAAATTAAATGTGCACGTGACAGGCAAACATGAGGAACCAGGTATTGTACCTTTCTTTACTGTCCTCAACTACACTGTATGAGCGCAGCAGGTGCATGCCATCGGCTTCTTCTACAACAGGAATAGTCTCAAACAAAGCAAAATATGATGAAAACTCTACCCAAGGTGTTTGTATAGAAGGAAAGACACTTTAGTTAATTAGGAGAATCAGAAAGAGTTTCCATGAACCACAGTTGCTAACCAGAAATGAGCCAATGGTTTAGCCTAATGTGTTTCTATTAAACAAATGCTGAAGAACTATGTATGAAACCTTTTTATTTTCTGCATATTTTTCTTTATTATTTTAGTCTAACAAATGGGATATTTTATCATATTAAAAAGTTCATAAGCTATTTTTATTCCAAATACCATGGACCCAAGATTTAATGAGCACTCTGAATCAGACCCATAGCTGAGTTTAAATATACTTGAAATAAAATAAGCATGTCTCCCCCAAGCATTGTGGCAATATACTAACCCTTGTGAAATGGAGTATTATAAATCCTTTCACATAGGCACATATTTCCTAATCTTCCAAAGTTTTCTGTGAACGTGTCTACTCAGTAGTTGAGAAGTCTTCCAGATTTCCACACTCTTCTGTCCAAAGCATCTGGCAAGCTTTTCATTAAGGCCTTCATCATTTAAATTCCTCCTCTGAGATATTTGTCTTAAAGCAGCATCAAATGTTTAGAAAATAACAGAAAGGCCTAACCTTACAAAATAACTATTGAAAATTTTATAATTTTTTCTCTGTTTTGCCAAGAAATACAATAAAAAAATCAACAAGGTTGCTTCATGCCTAATTCAATTCATGCTGCCTCTCTTTTTATAATCAATATCAATCAACACCGGTATACTGCTAATAATCCAATCCACTTGAATGGATAAAGGGAAATAAAATGGATGACCCAGCAGTGATTATGTTGATTTTTGCCATGTGACCATGGCTTAAGAGATTCCTAAGATACTAGGCGTGAGGTCCTCTAGTAGGTAGAAGGTTCTGGTTTTTAAAAGTCATTTAACCATGATCTTCACTTACTTAGTCACAAAATATATTCACTCGTTTACTCCCTTATTAAGTGGTCAATAATTACATGCTATAAGCCAGAGACTATGTTAGGCAATGTTCACAAAAGAGAGGCTTGATAAAAAGAATCACAGCACAGTGTCTGACACATAAAGAAAATAAATTAAAAGCAATATGCCGTATCCCAGGAAAGTGTAAGATAACGGGAGACAGCACTCAGAGACTTAAGCTCAGCGGTAAAGACAGAGGAGAACATGTTCAAGGTTTGGCATCTTTGAGCTAGCTAGAGAAGATTACTCCACAGATTCAAAAAGGAGGAAGGCACAGAGGAGGGTAGGCAGAAGTAAGCCAAAGGAAAATGGGCAAGGGCCCAACCAACACGTGGAAGATGGGTAATCTTTCCTGAAGGAAAGGGATGCTATTAAGGACAAAATTTATTGATTCTCTTCCTCCCTTTGTTCCCCATCTCCCTTTTCTCTCTTGGACCTTTCACTCTTCATATCTCCTTAAGTTTTCATGCAACATGTAGAGAGTCACATATCCAGGCTAATTCTACCTTTTCACTATCCATTTTCTCTTGATGGGCCTCTAGGCTAGTTCCATTTCCTTGTTATTGTTAATAATGCAGTAATAAAAATGGATGGCCAAGTATTTCTGTTACAGGATATGGAATCTTTTGGGTAAATGCCCAGGAGTTGTATAGTTGGGTCATGTAGTAGTCCTATTTTCAATTTTTTGAGAAGCCTCCATACTGATTTCCATAATGGCTATTCTAGTTTGCACCCCTCCCCCAGCAGTGAATAAGGACTGTTTTTGTGCTGACTTTGTCATTACAGCTCTGTAAGGACAGTGACAAATAATTTTTTAAACCAAGATTCTTTCAAAAAATATTTATTTACTTATTTTAAGTGTATGTGTTTTGCCTGTTATGTATCTAAGTGTACCCTTGTCACATAATGCCCACAGATGCCAAAAAAAAAAAGCATCAGATCCCTTGAAGTGTAGTTTCAGACTGTTGTTATGTGCCATGTGAGTTCTGGGAACCCAACCCAGGTTCTCCGTAAGGAGAGAACTTAACTGCTCAGCCATCTCTGCCGCCTCTGTAGTATAGTTTGAGGTCAAGGATTTTGATTCTTCCATTATTGTTCTTTCTGCCTAGGATTACTCTGGCTATTTGTGGTCTTTTGGGTTCTCATGAATTTTTGGATGAAACCAACCATTTAAAACCAACAGCTTTAAGTCATCCAAGCCAACCTACATGTAAAGTCTTGAGTTACCTGGTCAAAGTCATGACTTAGAGCTCTTCATTTGGAAAAGGTTAAGTTTATGAGATCAGCTTTAAATGGCTATACAGATATAGGCATCACTTGACAAAGGGTAAAAATTAAGGCTGTGACAATAAGGATGGAGAGGAGGAGATGGACTCACGATCTACAGGGTTTTCCAACACACATGATTTAGGGACTGTTTATATATGGAAGACGGAGGAGAGAGAAAGAAAAGGATTATTTTCAGAATTTAGTTTTGGTCATGCTCCTTTTGTGCTACCTACTGGACCTCCAATGTAGAGAATTTGTGCAGACAGTGGGATGTGTAAGCTTGGAACTCAGAAGGGTTGTCTGAGTTGGAATTCAAGACTAGGATTCATTAATCAACACACAGATAGGGATGGAAGGAGAGCTGTTAATGAAGGAGTCAAAGGGATGGTGCTAGAGTTGAGAAAGATTGTTGTCACTAAACTAAAAGAACAAAGTTTCAGGAACAGAGGGAGGGGAGGGGAGGGAGGGACTGAAGCACCCATGCCAACTATCCATCAACTCCTCATACAACCTCCACCCCTAGGAAATATACTCTGAGGTAAGCTTCTCCCTCACCTCTTCTACATAAAAGCAAGGGGCTTTCTCCTTCCAAATTATGCCTTCTGCTTATAAATTAAAACCAATTTGAGATTATGCTGATAACATTCACCTCATTTATAGATAATCTGCTAGCAAGCTTTGAGAGAGGAAAGGAGGGCGTCAGAGGCACTGCGGTTAATTGACAGGAGTTTCCTGTACAACTGCAAATCACGCATTACTGGCATCATCATATAACAGGTGAGCATCATGGCTTGAAGTTTCTTTCAACTCCATGAATCTTTGATCTTACCTGTACTTTCCTATTTGCCTCCTACCAATTTGAGTTTCTTTCAGGAAGAGAGAGACAGCGAGACATGGAGGGAGGGAGGGAGGGAGAGAGAGAGACAGAGACAGAGACAGAGAGAGAGAGAGAGAGAAAATATATGTTTCTGTGTAGCTGGGACATAACATAAAGTCTGCAAGTGCCCAAGGAATTAGAAACTCTGAGATTGTGGTGACCATGGGCAATGCAGCATCACTAGAGTGGCTTGGACATAAATCAGACTGATGGGTTAAAGAGTTAACAGAACTACAAGAAATGGAATCATTTTCCCAGAAGCGTGGGGTGACCAAATGAGATGAGCTAACTCATTTGTAGATCTTCATAGCTCTTTTCAGCAAGTGCATTCTATGAGATTTTATTAACAACCGAGTTTCGTGTCAAGAAAGTGGATATGCTTCCCCAGCGATCTATCACACTACCAGCCTGCTATTGAGAATTTGAGCAATGGTGCTCAGGCACACTCAGAACAGGAGTCATCTACTTGAACACTTGACTTGGAGATGCTCAGGCAGGGGCTATACTTCTTCATGTTCGTGTAGTGAAGAAGTGGGTGACGTGTGCAGACCAGCCTCTCTACCATTGGTTTGGGGTGGTAATGGTGCTGGGAGTGTTGGGAACATGAACTTTTTATCCAAGTTCTGAAACCAATAATTCTAAAAGTGAAAAGAAGGAAATTATGAGCACAGGGAAAGAAAATAACCCTTAAGTAACACAGAGAAACAGAAAGGCTCTTGCCTAAGGGACAGTCATTTTGTTATTTACTCACAGGTGGTCCAGGTGGTCCTGGTTTTCCTGGAGGTCCTGTTTTCCCTCGTCTTCCCTTGAAACCAAAAGAAAACAGATTAAATGTTGTGATTTAATTTCATTTTAATATAAAAATATTAAGTGGCAACATGGAAGGCAGTAAAAAATTACAAAGGTTAAAAAACAATTCCAAGTTCACATGACTCTTGAACATCAATGAATTCTAAAGCTGTGGGCCAGTCTGATCATGGAGGGAAATACAGTGCCTGAGGTGAACAGATTTTATCACTGTAAGCCCTTTACATGCTGTGTATCTCAGTACTCACCCAAAGTCAGGGAGGTATCTGAAAAATGACTGAAGATTTTATTTGATGATTCTGTGACTTCAGATAAAATAAAATGCTATTTAGATAAAATAATAAATGCTTTTCAAAGAAGGGTCTGGATTCTAATTTTATAGGAGGTACCCAAGGATGAAATTGAGTGGTGAAGAAACTGGTTAAGAAACTCAGAGGATCAGAGTTTTGAATCTGTATTTTAGAATTACCTCAAGCAATTCTTACATTTACTAAAGTTTAAAAGGCATTGCACTGGACAAAATGATATATTCTGTATATAGTATATTAACTAGTTCTTTTCTTCTCTTTGGATAAGTGAACTCAAGCATAATTCATACATATTAATCATTATTGTAGCTGAATGTTGACTCTTCTAAGTTCATAACCAGTTGTATCCCAATCTCAAAAGCCAGAGAAATAGGGAAGAAATTATGCAGTTAATATTATTTAAAAGCTTTAGGTGGTTATCATTATTTTTAATTTTACCTTTTATTACTGTATGCATGTATATATGGGTATGTGTGCCACGGTGCCCCTGAGGAGGCCAGAGGACAATTTTGTGAAGTTGGTACTTTCCTTCTACCTTTATATGTGGTTTCTGAGGTACCCACTGAGTCATCTCTTTGGACCTAGTTATTGGTTTAAAAACTATTTTATTAAACTTTTTTTCTCCTAAAAAAGAGGAGTGCAAGCTTAGGTCTTGAAACATGTTGTGAATGCAAAGTATTTCTGAGCATATGTTTCCTAAGCACTGTGATTCCACTCCATTGTTGCTACTAATAATTTAATTGCCACAATGGTAGCAAACACCACACACACACACACACACACACACACACACACACACACACACATAATGGCTCAGTGATACTTAAAAAGATTTAGATTGAAATTTTCAATGCTTTTGTTTGAGAATTTGTTTAACCATAAATAGAGAAGGGCCCATTTTATTTACTAATTTTATTTACCCTGGGATGGGATAGGAAGTCTAAGTGCCAGTTGAACTTGTAGGGTAAGCTTTGAGAGTAAACAAAGAAATACTGTGCTATGTTTGGGGAAGAAATGTACCCACAGATATGAGAGATAAGTCAAGGGCACACTGTGAAGGACTTCGTATAATGTCCATTGCACGCAGGAACTCACAGCAGCTGTGTTTCTAACATAAGACCTGTATAAGATTGAGTTGTCAACATTCCATTACAGATGGGGGAGGGTCCCCTGAGGCCTCACCCCTTGCTGGGGAGATACAGACACTTAATCGCTGCTGAAGGAGTAATTTTTCTGCAGTGGTGTGGCCACAGATAAGTTGCCCACGTTTCAGCAAGCAACCCTACACCCATATTCATGCATGCAACACCAATTAAACTCTGTGAGTCAGTTAAAAAAAATTGAAAGTAGGTAGGAGATTGGTTGGGAAAAAGGGGTTCAGGGAGAGAGCAAGGGGACTGAGACATGGTAGTGGAGGGTAAATATGATCAAAATGCATTATACACAAGTAGGAAATTGTCAAAGCATAAATGGCCAGTACCTCATTTCATAAATAATCCTGTTAACATTCAAAGAACAGAAAAAATATTTTAAATTTAAAAAGACAATATAATTAATGGTGTTTTCATATACTGTCCATTTAAGAGATCTAAATATTGGTATTCTTTGGGGAGCTTTAAGACTGGAATGGATATGTAATTATATATTCTGTGTATTTAATACAAGTTATGCATATTTACATCATTTTCACTCTTGCAGTTTATACTTTCTGAAAATTAATATTGGATCTTTTACAAAACATAATTAGCCTTTGAGGAATAATCAAGGATAAAAAGTTTACCTTAGAAGTTGAAGCGTTGAAATTTATTAATTAACAAGAGCACTAAGAAATGAAATCAGCGCATCTAAGTAAGTGACTTGTTCTTTTTTAAAGCCTGCATTAGATTGAGGTAAGTTAAAACCATAGGGTCAAATTTTGTTTACCTTCCTCTTTCTTCAAAGGAGAAATGAATATGTGTTTGGGCTGTAAGAGGCTATCAATCAATTTTTATCACAGAGTTAATGTTTAAGACAAACTAGCCACCAGACACTGTAACACAACATTAATGGGTTACAATGAGAAACAAATAGCATTCACAATTCTGTATGGTAAAGGCAAGCATCCACATCCCTGCATTTCTCCACTGATTTACATGCTTCTGTAGGTTAGCATGTTCTGGTGTGTGTGCCCTAAGAGTGAAGACAGGGTTGATTTGTTCATACATCCTTCCTAAGTGTGGACAAGTGAGCAAGATATTTGTGAAGGTTGTTAACTTAAAAGAACATATTTGTGCAGATAACTCCAGCCAACACACATTTTCAGTTTAAGGTCTAAATACCCAGTAACTCCCAGAGGCATATTTGAACAATTTTAAATGTGGTTTATATGGCAATATGTTTTTTTTTCCTTTAAGCTGTACTACCATGCATATCATCAAAACAGATAAAGTAAACCCTTTACTAGGTCCCAGTCTCAGTGCCCTGCAGAGGGCACTCTGGCACAAAGCAAAGGGTGGACGGATGAGAACTACAAACTACGAGGGAAACTGCAATGAGAGAGCTGCCATGAGGTCATAATTTCAGTGGACATAACATCCAAGTTCACTTCCAGACAAGAAGCCCCAGAGCTCTCTCTCTTCTTTCTTCTTTATAAGGCCCATTACTACATTTAATATAGCTGCTCAGTCTCCCCTTCATCCAAAAAGTGCTCTTCATTTAAAAATATGAAGGAAAGAGAGGCTGGAGAGATGGGTCAAGGGTCAAGAGCATTGTCTGTTTTTGTTGATGACCTAGGTCCAATTCTCAGCACCCATATGGCAGCTAACAACCATCCATAAGTCCAGTTCCAGGGCATCCTCTTCTGATCTCCGCTGGCATTGCACGACACAAATGCATATGCAGGCAATGCACTCATACACACAAAATAAAAATAATAAATAAAATAGTTTTAGAAAATATTAAGGAAAGGAAAAATACCTACCTCAGAGCTATGAGACTGAGACTTTTAGTAAGGTGAATTTTATTGTTTAAACAGGCCAGCATGAGGAGCACTTTATTATTAATAGTTTAATCAAGATGATGGGCACAAACTCCAACTCTCATCCTACGTCTAAACTCAGATTCCTTCGTTCTTTTTCAGAAGAAAGTGTGATCTCTAAATCTTTGTTCTTTCCCTCGTGAGCTTCTGGGGCACTGGCTGGGGTTGTGTAGGGCTGGGGTTGGGGCTGTTGATGGTATGGGTGGGGAGAAGTTTGTGACACTGGGGGGGAGTAAAGGTTATATGTTTGTTTCCACTTCTGAGTCCTCCTGTTTCTGTCATTTCATTTCAAGGTACAAAGTAGACCACATGGAGGGGAATCCTGCAGATAGCTCAGAAAACAGCAGATCTGGGAGACTGCCCAGATTAGGGTGGCTACTCTCAGGGGGCCGTTTCCTCATTAGAAAAACTCAGATAATTCACAGTCTGTATAAACCTCCCAACACACAGAGATGGAGGGTTCCTGCACCATAATGATCAAGGTAATCAAATACCTTCTTGAAAACCAAGATAGACATAAAATCATAGACTGACTCTCATTAGTTGCCCTGGAAACCTCACAGTGCTCAAAACATCAGTTTTCTGTTTGGCAACAATAAAAAAATTTGAACAACAATTTAGATTTCTGCCTAATGATCTAAATCCACTGTTTGGTGTCACTTGGAAGGCTAGTCCCTGTTCCCACCAACTTCAACTCAGTGGGTCTAAGGTGAGATTTGGGAATTTGGGGACTCCTATAGAGCCCCCTAAATCCTATAAATGTACCTCATTACAAAATCATTCAATTGGGTTACTGATGGTATAAAAATGGAGAAAATGGCCACTGTCAAGTTTAAAAGAATATGGACTATATTTGTCTCCTTTAAAAAAAACTATAGAACTTTTTTTTGGTCTTTTTGAGACAGGGTGTCCCTGAAGCCCCAGCTGTCCTGGAACTCACTATGTAGACCAGGCTGGCCTTGAACTCACAAATATCTGCCTGCCTCTGCCTCCCGAGTGCTGGGATTAAAGGCGTGCACCACCATGCCCAGCTAAAAAAAATAGAAACTTTTTATGCCAAAATTTTGTTACTGTATTTGTTGCTTAAAATGATATTTGTATATGGCCATAGATTTGTTGAAGATTAGAAAAGAGAGCACTTGTAAAATTACCACCGTGAACCCTGGTTAGAATGACTCTCCAAAATCCAGAAATTAACAAAGAAGGGAAGGGAAAGGAAGGGAAGGGAAGGGAAGGGAAGGGAAGGGAAGGGAAGGGAAAGGAAGGGAAGGGAACATAGGGAAACCAGAACACTCACATGCTGCTGATGGGATTGCCAAATGGTACAATCACTCTATAAATGTTACTGAGCTCCTCAGAAAATTTAGACTAGAACCATCATATGATCTTTTGGAAATACATCTCAATTTTATTTTATTTTGTTTTGTTTTTATGAAATAAATAACTTTATCCACTTTATCTGTGTTGAAAGCAAAAAAAAAAATATAGAGGCAGAAGATTACTAGTACCAGAAAGGAAGGAAGGAAGGTAGGAAAGAAGGAAGGAAAAAAAAGAAGGAAAGGGGGTCTGTAGAGATGATGCCATAGTTAAGAGCACTGTCTGCTTTTGCAGAGGACCTGGATCCAGTTCCCAGCACCCACAAGGCAGCTAACAATCATTTGTAACTCCAGTTCC